CTCCAAAACGGATAATGATATTCTCATTTTATCTCCTCCACCTCCACTCTACAAGCTCTGCCCCAGTGTTATATTTAACTAATATTGAACTCCCACCCACTCCGTGAAAAATCATGTTTAGAAGACTTTTCTAAGATTCAACAACAGTGGATGAAATTACATTAAGAGCAGGGATTTTACCATTACTAGGCTGTTTATGGTTGACATTATGTGCTGATAACTTTACTCAGTACCCTAACCTAATCTGTTATCTGTTAATGTTTCTTAAATCTACTAATTTAGTCGGGGACAATCCACTGACATACTTTGATATACATGTTAATTTGATTCAGATGTGCTTATTATATACAAAGTGATTCTTTATTTGTTTTACCCTTTTAAAGTGCATCACAACCGGTCTATTCTGCTGCAACTTCCGGGAACTATTGAGAGGCTCCACGATCCGCCATTGCTGTAAAAAAAAATGGTCCATTGGAGTGAACGGAGTTGACGCAACTCTCTCTCTGTACGGCTCTGGTAGTAAACAGACTGAGCCGAGGCAGCGAGAGGGCGCTAACTGCGCTTAGCCAAGCGCCGTATTCTCCCTTTTCTTTTGTCTTCCGTTCTGAGTTTTTCAGTAAGGCTGAGTCACAGACTCGATCTTCAGCTTGTGTGAGTTATGTGGAAACACCGCTGCAGTATGAATATCTTTGTGACTCTAATTATCTAGCAGTTCTGTCCGTTTTACAGATCTTTGTGGAACTACAGAACCAGTATGTATGGGTTTCTCTTCATTTTCCGTGTTACAGTGACAGATTCATTGTGCTCTAGTTCTTTGTATCATAAGATGTCATAAGATGATAATAAAATATGCTTTTTTATTCCTGTGAATTTCGTCAATGTCATGTTTTTATATGAGCCATATTGTACTTATCCTTCATCACTGTTCTTGAGAGGGCAAAAGAATGACAGTCGTTTTGGTAAGTAAAATGATTAACCCCTTATTAGCTTTTAATCAGTAATAAAGTGTGACTGGTTCATCGCTTTACTTTAGGCGGCACAAACATTATGAACTCATCATGACGAATTAGTATATAATCAGTAATAAAGTGTGATTCGCTCACCACTTTCAGGGGCACAAACATTATGAATTCATCATGTTTTGTATTTTTCTCACTCTGACACACCTCAACCAGCACAACAGGAGCTTGTAAATTAGCAGTTGAGTGCAATCAGGTGTACTAGATGTGGGGAAGCACAAAAATGTGCATACAATTAATAATTCTTATGACCCCAGGAGAAAGACACTCCAATAATTAACTCATTTCTGAGTTCAGTGGTAACTGTAGGATAGACTATTCCCTCATGAGGCACTGTGTATCAATACAGGAGTTAAACATGTCATATTATTAACATGAAAGATGAATTAAAACTATGGCAACTGTCACAAATGAGGACTAGTTGCAGAACAATGTCATTGTAAGCTTTTAATTTTATTAAACAGTCACTAGGTGGGTAGAAACAAACAACTAACTAACATAAGAAATCAAAAAGAATAAACTGAAGACCTGACAGATAGAAACAGGCAAATACAAGGGCTGCTTACACAACATGATGAAGAAGAAGGACAAGATGATGAGAGGATGGAGCTATAAAAAACACAGTTGACTTTGATATTCCAGAGCACTGTGTCTGAGGGGGATCTTGTGACAACATTAATCAACACATGAATTCCTAATAATTTCAGGCACTGAATAAAGCCTTCATTACCTTCATCTTCATTCATTAGAACATGCGTTAGTAATTTAGTCTTGTGGTTGTTAATATATGACTTATTCATTTGTTCCTGATTAACGACTCATTACTTTCTGATTAGTTATTCATTAGTAAATGCCTTAATTACTGACAGGTCATGTACCCTTAATGTTAAGTGTTACCATTGTATTATTATATCTGATCACACCCCAGTATTACCTTTCTAGCAGATTATCAACAGACAGATGTCTTTCCTCTGAAAAAACAACCAAAGCCTCCTTTCTAATGCCTAATCATAAATCACCAGGACCTGATGGCTACCCAGCAGACTTTTACAAACAATTCTGGCCTCTTATTTCACCATTTTTTTTAAACTAATCTCAGAAATGTTTGAAAATGCATCCATACCTTATCATATGAATACTGCTCTTATCACACTTAAAACCAAATAAAAAACCTACAGATTGCTCCAGGTACCGTCCCATTTCACTGATCAATTCAGATATTAAAATCATAAGTAAAGCTTTATCAATCAGACTGGAATCAGTGATATCCACTCTCATGAGCACAGATCAAATTGGGTTCATCAAAGAGAGACAGTCCTCAGACAATACACATAGAAAATTCAACCTAATTCAGAAATATAACAGCGAAAAATCTCCAAATATATATCCCGATGTATAATAGCATCTCTGGATGAACATTATAGAGCATTTTAGAACAAGTTTTCAATGAAACAATAGAAGCCATCTCGCTCCCATACACGTCCTATAGAATCAGAATCAAATGAACATCATATAGCGTTATAATGTGCTTTTGAGTTAGGAAAACGTTGATTTTTTCTGTAATCTGGAACAGACTTTGTTGACTAATTGTTGCAGTCCTGGTTACCAGATTTAATAGGTGTTTTTCTAAACTGTGCTGGACTTGAGCCCTACAGGACCCAAACTGGATACCCCTGCTTAAACTGAACTGCAAATCTCATAAACACTCTACTGCCACCCCCTCTCATGCACTTTCTAGAGATTCAGCACATGGACTGCTGTACCAAAGCTCACCTGGATCTCCCAGCAAGACCAGAAAGAGAAAAAGAAAAACAGAAGTAGGACAGCTTGCTGGAGGAGATACCCCACATTCCTTAGGGTAAAAAGTGTTTACATTTACATTCAGTGGTCAGTATTCTCAAAGAATTCTGGTCAAACTCTGAAGTTATGTTCACGCTACCTGACTTATCTGAAATCCAAAAGTTTTTATGATTTAAATGTCACAAAGTGCGCCATCTGTTGTAAAATCTGGGCTCTTATTTAATGTGTAGCTCATGTCATGAATCAGTCTTGAAATTTTGGATAGCTTCAGAACATTCTGTAGCAGCATAAGGCAGTAATTTATAGTTATTATTTTTAAAACTTGTTAAACTGATAAAGCTGTGCTGCAGCCTTATGAACCAGGGCCTGACTGACTGACGCTATTGAATGTCAGATTTCTTTAAACTAAAAGAAGATTTCCTATACCTCAGCAGAATAATGGTGGTACACAACCATAACACAGTAAAGCTTTATCCAGCTTAACAAGAGTCTTTATAGACTGTAAAAGAGAGATTTTACCAAACCAAATTAGCAAGCTTCTGACAAGAAACATGAGCATGATTATTTTCTCTTGTTTAAGCAGGTTCTCGGTGGCATTAAAACAAGGTTGTTGGAGGCAGTGCTGGGCAATATGACTATTTATTATCATCGTGAAAAATTATTTCACAATATTGTGGATATTGTCAGTACTTAAAAACACTTCCCAACTGCAAGTGTGATTACAAAAAGAGCATAATTAGTCCTGCTTCATTGGATTTAGCACAGCACACTACTTTGGCACCACTTTGTGCCTAATAATCAGATTTCAGAAAAAATATATACTGTGGCATATTGCGTATGATGCAAAAACTTCTTGAATGATTGTGGTATTACATTTTTGCCATATGTATGAGGTGTTTGTGAAGAGGTTTGTTAGCTGCTTCCAATAGTGATAATTCCACTAAATGATAATAAACATTTTATTCCATTAAGTCTATACAACAAGATAAAATATGCTTGAATTTGATGTTTATCTGAACTCTCACTTCAATACTTCATATGTGCTGTTTACCCAGAGCTAAACTGGTTTCCACTGAGTTGGCAGTACTCTACTTTTTCAAGTCCTGCCTACTCTTGAATTAGTTAGGTTAACTTGAATCAAATAATCTTCTTTTTACAATATATTAGCATCAATCAAAACAACTCTGTTATATGACTGTTTTGTATAGTAAACAAATAAAATAAAAATAAGACTAGAATCATCCTTTTCTGAGGACTTGTAATAGCTTAATGCATATTTGCCATTCTGTTAGTGTTCATGGCTCCAGGCTGAACTAATAAACCTGAACACAAACACTATCATGGCGAGAATAACAAAAACATGTAAAATGCATCCAAATGTCACCTTTAACATGAGAGTACGCTATGACAGAAAAATAATATTTTACAAACAGAATTATATTTATAAATTAGAAAAATCAGTTAAAAAATGAAACAGCTGGGGATACTTTGAAGCTTCTTGATCACAAGGCTCTTTAGTCTGTAGGATTTATCCAAATTAACTAATCTCAATAGATTTACTTTAGTAAATAAGGATTATACAAGAAATAGTATGTGTTACTAGATCTGTTTTAGTAATTTAAAAAAATTAGTAAACTAAATAAACATTGTTAGTGCAATTATTATGTTTTACAGGGTGTGGTACAGGACTTGGTACAGAAACTGTGTATTTCCATCAGATAACTGGGTGAAAGGTGACTGTTTGGGAAGCATCAAGGCCTTCGGCCTGATATAGTGCCTCTTGCTGGCATCATTAAGATGAATGCTATCTTTGTTGACTGAATCTCATCAATGACACTGTGCTCATTTTTGTTTTGAGCCCATCCAATCTGCATTATAATAGTTTTGATTTATAACGATGAATTGCATATGTAGACTGTCTATTTTACATATAACTTGCATAAATGTATAACAGCTTTGAAGAAGTCTGCCTTAGGTCAGGAAGAACCTGTTAACCTGTTGAGACTATTTTCTCTATTTTTATCCTTTCTTGTGTATGTTTACTTTTACTTTTTCATGTTCCTGTAATTCTGAAAAACATTTTTCTTGTTAAATTTTACAATCTATTTTACTTTTTGAAGTTCAATGTGTGGTCTTCTCTTTTTAGTTTTTAGGGCACACTGTATAAAAAAATTATGAATGTTTTTTATTTCATACATTTCAAAATTTTTATTTCAAACATGTGGTAGATTACCCAACAGCTTTACATAGGCATAACCCAATTATTACTCATAATCATATTTTCTCTGATGCAGTTGTATTGTGTGACTGGGATCAACTGCAGGGCACCGTCTCCAGGAGAGGTTTGTGAGTCGTTGAATTGTACACCATATAGGAGAACTTCGAAATGTGGTTGCAAGCAGCACCTTAAAGAAATAAAGAAATATTTTGGATTATTTTCATAGCTGTGCCATGAAAACCACAAGCAAACTGCTTTAACAACCTCAACAATTTCAATAAATGATAAGTAAATGATTATAAAGTAAACAGCATAATAGCTCTGCCCCTTTAAACACTACAAAAGCATTGTAACTCACCATATCTCCCAGCTTTGTTGGCACAGATGAGTGCCCCAGAGAACTTTGGGTGATGCCCCCTTATCTTATCGATGGCTTTCTGACAGGCAGCAAAGGGGTCAGTCCCGTTCCTCATCAGCTCCACAGCTAAATAACTACAAACAGTAATGCAGCAGCTTTTGAAAAACACAGTGTTTCTTCTGAAATTGAGGGTATTAATAGAGAGTTTGTCCTCTTTTGTTGCAGTAACAGCCTCTACTCTTCTAGGAAGCCTTCTTGGTTATTACAACTCATCCCATCCAGACAACGCAGCTCCACACAGCCCAATGCTGGGGGGCTTTATAACCCTCTTTCCCATGCTTGGCATTAGGCATGGTCACCTGAAGCTTTTGTGACCTTAAGCTGCTCCAGAGCTTCCCATTCTATTAATTTGTACAAGCTTTGGCAGCAATTTGCTGAAATTATTCCTTAGAAGAGCTGTCTGGATACGTTTGGACAGTCTTTACATAGAGTGGAGACTGGTATTTAATCTTTTAGTTGAGTTTTTGTGTAATCTCTTGGAAAAAGTGATGGTTTGAGGCAAGTTTGTTAGTGCATGACAACAATTGGTTAAAAAGCCTCCATTACTTGTTAGCTCATACAACAAGTCCCAGCTGATACCACTGGGGATAATGGGGGGCAAAATTAAGTGAATTAGATTTTTCACTAAGTTATCACTTTAATGTAGTGGTTACCTGGGGAGGAAACGCATCATAATGTCTCCTTGACCGGTTGCTGCAGCGCCACCTGCTGTGCTATCTGCATATGCCCCCGCACCAGGCACTGCACAATCCCCCACACGCCTGTAGAGAGAACATGCACACCTTACAGCAGCTCTGCCTGCAAATAAGTGAACTCAGCTAGCACAGTAAACAGCTTTCACCACAGAGTTAATCATGTCATCCATCACCTTTTTATTTTTTTTCTTTGCTTTATGTCCCTGAAGATTCCTAAGACAGGTCAGTAAAAGTTGTGGTTGTAGTATATTATTGGCAGCAAATCTGTACAGAAGTGTACAGTACTTAATTTAATTGTGAATGTCACACAAACTTTACTGTCTGAGAGTTTGTGGCCACTTTGCTGAGCCCCTTTGCCTTCTTCTCTGAAGCTGTTTCTCTTGAGGCTGTTGAAATGACCTGTTATGTCTGATGAACGAGAGCCGAGACATGATTTTACTCATGGTTTTCAACGTATTGGTCTGGGGATCCTGAAATGTACACAGTCCCAAAGAAACTCTTTTTGTACAGGTAGGAAATCTGTCTGCAGCACAGAATGTGTTTAACCAGTGCAGCTCAACAGCCCTGTTTACAGAACAATCTCATCTGTGTTGATACAAAAATTTGGGATTAACATATGGTATCCCATCAGTTAGTGCTTAAAAATTATGTTCATGTGTGGGAATATTGCTGTGGTTTACACAAACTAAATAAATAAATGCACAACTATTTTTAACAGTAAATGAGTTTTTACCATCACTGGGGGCTGTTACCATGGTAAATCCATTAAACCAGGTGTTCTCAACTTTTTCCACCCCAAGGCCCACCTGTGTATAACCACAAAGCATAGTGGCCCACAGGAAAACGTTTTTTTTAATGCAACTTTAGTTTTCTTTTCTTAGATGCTGACACCGAAAACCTGAGAATTAGGGCCGAAAAAGATCATAATTGATCATTTTAGTTGTCAGTAGGTGAGCAAAATTTGCAGGTATGTTAAAAAACATAAAACATGGTACAAAATGCATGATTATAGTGATGTTAAAAAGGGGAAGAAGAAAAAAATAAGAATGTATGAGGTGTATGTAAATGTGGACTGTTATTTGGAGCAGCAGTTCATCGTGTTTTCACTGAAAATACTCCACTGGCTTCTCAAAAGAGCAATTGTTTGCTCTTGAGATGTCTCTTTGGTTTTAAGGATTTTGTGCTTTATTTAAAACCACACTACACTCACCAAGCTTTTGGATTAGTGTTGTCACAATCAACAATAATGGTAAATCTCACGTGATATCTGGTTCTTTGTCATTCCTTTATCAGTTTTTGTTTAACCACTCAGGTCACTGATGCTCAACCAAAAAACGCTCCGCTATGATCCATGAGCTAAAATCAAACGCATATCTTCGCCAGCATGCGTATCGTTTTCAACAGCAGCTTGTGCTGAGAATCTGTAAAGACTCAGTCATTAAAACAGTCATTTTGCTGACTGTGTAGTGTCAACGTGCCTCTAGAAGAGAAGGAAAGCCAGTCCTACTGATGAATTCCCTTGTTCGATCACAGAGCGCGTTCCCATCAGCAGTGAACTGAACCAGGGTGTGAAGCGGACCGAGACCCGGTTTTTGCCGGACTGATTCAGCTGTGTGCTGCAGACCCGAATATGTGTGGAGTGTTCACACGTGTCAAAACAGACCGAACTAAAGAAAAATGTGTAACAATTCCAAACCAAATAAAGCGCCCTCAAAAACTTATTCATCTCTGGCTAGCTGTCTGCATTGCGCACCTGTGGCTGCGTTGTCTCAGACTGATGACGTTTAATTAGCCCACTACTAGATTTGTACATCTCTATTAATATTTATATTGTTTATACTGTTAAAATATTATATATTTTTAATTATTAAGTTAATCTTTTTCCCACTGACTTACAGTGACAATATCAGCCCACTATGAATTACTACCTCCCTCTTGAGTGCAACCCCTGGACCACTAAAGGGTGCTTCATGGCCCACTGGTGGTCCGCAACCCACAGGTTGAAAAACTCTGCATTAAACATCACCGGGCACAGCCCCAGATATATGTAGTTAAATTTAGGGATGCCAAAATACAGACATTTATGTTAGATCCACCTAGATCAACATTACAGAGAAATATAACATTTATTTATCAATTACAAATGCAGTATAATAAATACAATGTATTATGAATAAAATAAATCATCTGCCGATATCAGTATGATTTTGATATCAGTGTGCATCTCTAGTTAATTCTGTCTTAATTAATTTTCGAAAAATGTTTTGTTTAACGAGTTGTGTTCTTTTAGGTTGGTCTTGCTCACCCAGGCACTTTATGGGTTGCTCCATTGGTTGAGGCTGCGGCAGCCACCTGACCATCATTTCCAATCACAATAATTCCTGAACAAGACAATTATCAACTTTACCCATGCAGTCAAATATCAGAACTTCAGAGCTCCTGTCCCTACACAGATCATAATAATTAATTATACATATAAAAATCAGCAGAATCAATCTCTGAAAAGGCCACTTAAGTAGTGCAGTTAGGGTTTTTAGAGCTGAATCAGCGCCATGGAACAACCTTTGCACCATTATGGTACTAGTTATCCATTATACCTCTTTAGACACCCCTTCCATGTAGCTCAGTGAACAGCTTGTGTTAGCCATGCTATAGTTTCTGACAACAGAACTCTTGTCTGGATACTGTTATGGCTGGACCTGAATATTCAATGATTTATATAAAATGGTACTCGGGACAGCCCTAGATATTGTTTGGGTGGTGGACTAATAGTGTTATTGTCATGCATAATAGTCCATCACCCAAACAATAAAGAAAAAAAGGCAGTGGTCCCAGGGTGGTCCCTTTCCACTGAGTGCACAAAGTGCACCTGCATAGTAGGTGTTTCCAATAAACTGGACAATGGATGGACCTAATGAACTCAGCATATGTTCGTGTGTTTTATATAATCTACTTTTATTCTGCAATAAATCTAATCTTGTCCCATGAACATTACCGATAGTATCATGCATGCGAAAGTCAGTTGGTCCACGTTTTTGCCTTGGGCCCTGCTGCAGCTTAGTTTTGGGCTTATACGGTCCACATGACGTGGAAGCATCTGGAACAACATTCTGAAGGAACAGGAAGGAGAAGAAAATCAAATCTGAAATCCTGATTTAATCCTAGTAATTATGAAAAAGTTCTCATGCAACTTTGACACCAGCATAGAAAAGGTCATAAAATCTTGCTGCTTCAGTATTTCCAACTCTTAAATCTCTAACATAGACGTCTTGTAATGTTTTCTTATTAGTGTCTGAAAGTGTCTGAAAGCCAAGAACATAGACTGTGATTGGATTAGGTTAAACAACTACCCAGACGGCTTAAGATTCTGGGGTGTGAACGTCTGAAAGTAAATATAAAAAAGCAAAACATACTTCAAATCCCACCTCCCTTCTTCACATAGCTTTGATAGCACCAATTCTAAAAGCATGCTTGGATCAACCACTGTATTCTTCCTAAAGATGTTGATCAGTTATTCATGGTAGTGTCGGTTCATTGTAAACGTTTCTTATGGCTGAGATTAAATTGAAATGCTTCCAAAACCAAAAGTCCACATGAGGAAATTTAATGAGGCTGACACATATATCTAATAGTTTTGTCTCTGTTATAAACACAGGGAGGAAAAGTGCTAAAAGTCTGTTGCGCTAATCATAACACTGTCCAAAAGCAGGGCGAAAGGCCTTTGCCCTGGTAACATTACTTTTATCGAATCTCTGAGCTAAGTGCAATGAACTTGTCAAGGACTTTATGCCCACGTTAGAAGCCCATCCAAATACCTTAACCTGTTCAGACCTACATTACGACCTTTCTGTTTTTCCTAGAATTGGAATAGGAAATATTAATCCATAAACAACGTTAATGAGTGATCCTATATGCTAGAATTGGAGATAATAGTCCCTTAAACAACTTCATTGATCCTTCCAATACTCAAAAAGGGATGTAATAGTCAATAAACAACTTCAATAAATGCTTCTATACACTAGAATAGCAAACATTAGTCCATAAACAAATTCATTAAACAGTCCTATATGCTGGAATAGGAAACATTTGTCCATAAAACAATCCACAACTTTTTTTTTGGATGAGGGTAGAAAATTGTCCACTTTGAGAAAAGTGTTTGCTTGTTAGCCCAATATATGTCCAAACCCCATTTCTGGAAAAAAAAAAAGAGGACATTTTGTAAAATGCAATAAAAACAAGAACCTGCGATTGGCTAATTCTCTTGAACCTTTATTACCTGACAAAAGAATAACTGAATGAGTTTTAATGTTTTGGCTGAGAGTGTGTGTGCTTGATTGGCCTGCCTGTAGTCCAGATCCATCTTCTATTGAAAATATATGGCACATTATAAAGAGGAGAATCACACAACAGTGACCACAGACTGTTGAGCAGCTGAAGTCTTGTATCAAGCAAGAATGGGCAAAAATTCCACTTGCAAAACTACAACAATTAGTATCCTCAGTTCCCAAATGATTAAAAAGTGTAATTAGAAGGAAAAGTCATGTAACACAGTGGTAAACATGCCTCTGTCCCAACTTTTTTAGTCAGGCATAAAATTCTAAATTTGACTACATTTCCAAATTACAATTAAGTTTGTCAGTGAAAACACTGGAAATCGTCTTTTTATACTTTTGTTGGTTAAATCTTGGTTTAAAAGAATTAACACATCATAGATTCTTGTTTGTATTGCATTTTACAAAATGTCCCAACTTTTCAGGAAATGGGGTTTGTAGTTTTACAATTAAAAACAAAAAAGGCAGCTTTCTCACTCAATGAACGTAAAAGCAGAGATGCTTTAAAAACAGGGTGGGATTTCGACCTACACCAAAATGGCAAATAATTAGCCTGCTGAAAATGATGATCTAGTTTAAGGTGTGAGTGGACAAGCTGACCTTTCTGAAGTTGGGCTGGCACATATTATTTAGCCACTTGGAGAAAATGTCCCTCGACCTGTTATTGGACAAGTGTTCAGAGTCGAAGCCCATGTCGTGAGCAAACATGGAAGCTGCATGAAGATACAGAAAAGTCAGAGCAGTTTAATAAAGCAGTAATTCACTCCATGCCATCTGCTAGTGATGTTCCCACAGTTAAGTGGCGTTAGGTATGATGTGGAACACAAATATACTATATACACCAATAGATTCACAACTTTGTAATTTTTAAAAGTAAAGGCTTTAACAAACTTTTAAACAAAACTTTAACAAAATGAGTGTATGAAAGAATGACAAATCTCTTGACATGTGCAGTCATACGTATGCATATCATGTATTTTACAGCTGGTTTAACCAACCAATTTTTAAGACCAGAACCTCCCCTTTTATAAACCAATAAACTGTAATGTGTAAAGCAAGCAACAGATTCAGTTTGTCATTTGAGCACAGCTATGTCCATATTATAAGCCCCACCCAATTTCAGGTCATTAAGCACCTAACATGATTTATTTATGCAAATTAATTCGAACATGTGTATAGCCGATGTTTTTTTTATTTTTCAGATGGTGAAAATGCAACGCTAGATTTTTTTTACCCCCTGTTCAATTTTTGTGAACTTTTCCAGCAACATGAACTCACTCGACTGTTGCCTATGGTGTTAGGATGGTGACAGCTAAGCTGACTGATCAGCTGTGTCCCACCACCTACAATTTTTGACAAACATGAAACGGAATGTGTGAAGCTGCATCTCCAACAATTAGCTGAAACTGAATTACGGAGATCCCAGCTGTGAGTGAAAAAGCTCATATCATTTTGGCTCCTGAATGAGGAGGAGAAACTATTCACTCTCCTGTTACTTGTCCAAGAGGAAAGTAACCCATCAGAGGAGTTGAAAGGAAGCTACATGGTGCAGTGGTCCATCAGTTCCCAATGGGCAGTAAACACTTTTGCACTACTCTATAAATGAGCACTGAATGGACCATCATGTACCAATCTTTTGATGGCAGTTGTTCAAATTTAGAAGACAAGGAACTGATACAGGCAGAAAGACTGTTACAGATAGATAGATATGGAATTTTACAGTATAGATACAGTAAGACTTAAACTTTCTGTGGAGGTTATACAACACTTCAAATGAGTGAATTCAGCTACTTTAAACACTACACTCTGGAGTTGGAAAGGAGAAGCTGAACTTACCTGACTCTCCAACTAAGAGGGTGTGGTCAGTGTAGTCCATCACCGCCCGAGCCACATCCACAGCCTTTTTCACTCTGTGTAGATTTGCTACTGCCCCCACCTCCATTGTGTTCCTGAGCGACAAAGGAAATGGAGAGACCAAGCTTTTAACTGAAGTGACCAACTTTTGCATGTGATCGAACTGAGGTGTGCACCTTCATGCTCTGATGCTGCAGAGTGAAAATGTCAGCGATGTTTTTCATGGTATTAGCAGATGATGACTGAACCTCAGTTTGCATTAACTCAGGTACAGTGAGAGGGAAATGTACTACAGTCGTACAATGACTTTCAGTTTCACTAACCTAGTCATTAAAAACTGTGATTTAAACAATTCTAAAGCAGCAGCGCCATGAAAACGTATTTGCTCCCTCCTGATTTCCTCTAGTTTTGCACTCCTCATCAGTCCTAGCACCATTATTCCAAAAGGCTTGGGGTCATCAAGGTGTTTCTGGGCAAATGTGCGACAAGCCTAACCACTTTTTGCTTTGCAGTTCTCCCAAAGATACTGTTTTTGCCCAATATCTTTCTAATGGTGGAATCATGAACCTGTACTTGTCTGAGTTTTGTGACTTCCAGATGAGTCGTTGCTGTGAATTTTTGTAGGCCGGCCACTTCTAAGAAAATTCACCACTCACGGTGGCTCACTGGAGTCCCAGAGCTTCAGAAATGGCCTTTGTAACCCTTTCCAGATTGATATATTTCTCTAACTCTCTCTCTCTATAACTCTCTCTCTCATCTCTTCTGGAATTTCTTTTGATCGTGGCACAGTGTACTCCTGTCTGATTATTAAGTGATGTTTAGATTCAGCAGGGCTTACAGTAATCAAGCCTGAGTGTGTCTAGTTTAATTGATCCCAATTTTCAACTAAATTTGGTTCATAGGTCAACTGAGTAATGAAGGGGGCCCTTACCTATTCACACACTGCCAGTTGGTGTTGGGTACCTCTTTTCTCTTTAATAAATGAAATGATCATTTACAAACTTCATTTACAAAATTCAGAATCCGAGTATCTGGATTCAAGGTCCATATTTGACGACTTCTGGCCTGAAGGATTGGCAGGTAGCCAAAATAAATAAACCTTTTGAAGCCATTGCAGTACTTTTTTGCTGATGCATTGTATCTGTTAATAAACGTGTTAAATGTGTTTTTTACCCATTCATGATCATGGCGTCCAGCGTGGTTTCCCCTTTTTCATCTGGACTCCCCCCAAACCCAACGCTGCCATGACACTGATCCTCCTCACAGCGAGCACATCCCTCCTGTGCTGCATCCAGTGCTGACTTACCATCCTGGAGAGCTTTCCATGCTGAACAAAAACAGAAATACACACACACACAGTGATGTGGGAGATGGTGGCGCGGGGGGGTATAAATACCTTATACTTTCACTCACTGGCCACTTCATTCTTTGCTGTAATATTCTTCATCTAACTATAAACTTGATTTATACAGCACTTCATTTAGGCATTTTATTTTAAATCGTGCTTTACTCTAGAAGATCATAAAACATTAGAAAAGACAAAATGCCATGAGCTACATCCAAACAACAATCCAAACAGACAGTAGGCTAAACATGAACTGAAGTTAGGTTCTACTCTTCACTTTTTGGATCGTCCTAGTCTAAAATAAAAGCCAGATTAAAAACATTTTAAAGCAGTTCCTGTACAAATATTGATGGATTAAGTTATAAAAAAGTTCTATAGATTACTTAGTACTTATGTACTTTTGTACTTTGAAAAGGTACTTTTACTGCAGTAACTATTTCTACTGCAGTGTAGGTTTAGGCTACTCTGCACACCTGTGTTTATCTCTAACCTTCAGCAGTGGCCTCCTCGAAGTCCCAGGTGCTGATCACGAGCGGCAGAGAAGCTGAACAAACTGGCAGCAGCAAACAGAGGACAAATAAAGCAGATCGGATCATAGCGATGATTTAAAGGCTTCTCTTCTCCCGCTGTGGACTCTCTGCAACTTTACTGATGAGGTCCAGGCCTTTTATGCCTGTCAGAATGCTCACAAAGGGCAGTGCTTTGCCAAATCTGTCATTTATTCATCTACTGTTTCTGCCCCATCACTCCATCAGGCGTTTTTCTTTCAGTCATATGACTTCAACACAAAGAAGAGTTTATATGGCGGCCAGCAGAGGCTGCTGCAGCAGCCCACAAAATGTTACACAAACAGTCATCTTTAGTCATATAGAAAAACTATCAACACTAATAGATTATTAAGACTAAATATGAGTCATTTCTCACTATAAAAACTTCAATCAATCTCTCCTGGTGTCACATGTTTTAATGCTGTTTGTGTCACTCATGACATTGGCAGGAAAATATCTTCAACATTAATGATATCACTTTAAAAGGTTCCTACATAATTCTACATATTATTGCAAATAATGCATTCATATATACACTGTTAGAAATAAAGGTTCTGTGCAGGTAAATTTTCATTCATCAAGGTACAAACAATGTAAATGTACCCTCAAAGGTACAGCAGTGGTTTTAAGGTCCAATTGTGTACCTTAAATAAGTTTTCCCAGGTCAAAAGTACATATTTGTACCTTCTCTTAAACAGAACAATAAAATAAAAAGCCTGGACCCGAGACGGGGTGTATGGAGCCAGTACAACTTAGAAAATATAGTTTCAATGGATTATGGTACAATTATTTTCCCTGACTAAAGGTATAGAGATTTGCCCCTGAGGGCACCACCCCAGTGACAGGAAGGATACTGCCCCAGTGACAGTGTTTTGTACTTTTTTTCTGAAAGAGTAAACATAAAATTAGACATTATATACATGACATTGCAGAAGATTCTACATGGGTGGACACTATTAACACTTATATTAGACAATTGCAAATAAATGAGGTAAAGTGCCAGAAACAAAACTATGCATTCTTTCAACAGACTTTATTTAAAAAGGTTTAATATTTTACTTTACAACTAGGTCAAATAGGGTCCTCCAATATCTTTTTCGGAAATACAGTTCGGGATGAAATATTTGATGAAGTGTTCACTGTTACTTGAATGTATATGTTTTCTTCATATACATTTCATAATGTTCTGTGTAATTTTATAATGCATGCCATATGAACAATATGAACAAGTTGTTGCAATTTTGTATTTTTTTCATAGTACAATAGATGCAGAATTGGACCTGCATGGCGGAGATCCAAAAATTGGGTGTTTGGTATCCTAGAAGTTCTGCCAGAAAACGAATACTCAAGATTGTTGGAGACTGCTCTAGAAACAGCCTTATCCCCACCATACTCTGTCATGTTCAGAGAGGCACAAGCATTGTGACAGATGAGTGGAAAGCCTAAAGGAGAGCTCTAAGAGAAGAAGGCTATACAACCATCACACAGTATGCCATCAAAGGCACTTTATTCATCCTCATACAAGAGCAAACACACAGCATTTAGACAGAGCATGGCAGACTTTTAAGGTTGATATTTGGCACCATTGAGGAAATCGTTCCACAAAAAAAAAAAAATTTTTTAGAATTTTGAGAAATTAAGATATTAAACTTAAAGTTTTTAAATTGCAATAATGTGTCTGTGCTTTTATAATTAGTTGGAAATCACCTCACATTACAGAAATTATGCTTATAGTATCTTATTTATAATAAAGAATAACATAAAATATCAATCACTTGAAGCACCCAATGATGGCATTGTAAACATTTATAATGTGGTTATAATATTTAATATGTATTATAAGTGCTGTATAATTATGCACTGGTCATTACCCATTTAAAAGGCATTTTAATGAATAGTGACACCTGTGTAATATTTAGAAGTTACAAAATAATTAATTATAGTTCATTATAAGAGCCTTATAAGCCATTATTGAAGTTTATAATTTATTTATTTATTTATTTTTTTATATTTTATAAATATAATTATTACAAGGCATTATTACCAAATTACTAAGAATTATAACCGCATTTATAATGACTTATACATGTGGGCTTCATAGAAAGTGTTACCGTTAAATGTATCAACGCATCTTTCTCAAATTAATAATAAGTAATAACGAAGGTGCGTATTTTCCTACTTCAGCAAGCTGAGTGAGGCGCCAAATCGGGAGATAACATTGGGTCACAAACAGAAAGAGAAACACCGAAATGTAATCTAGACATTTATTAGGTTTAGCCGGTACTTTGCGGGAATTAGCAAAAGTTAAAGTTATAAACTAGATGTTCTCCAAAATCGCCCCAGATGAGAGACAAAACAAAGTGGACCATAAACATCTAACCAACTAGAAGTGCGTTCCCAAAAGCTCTGTAAGTACTCAGTTAACTTGATATAAGACCGTTCGGTAATCAGTAAGTATTTCCCAAAACACTTTTAACTTAAGTAGACATGCTACATACACTCGCTCCTCATTCTTAACAACGACCTCTGTCTCTGGATTTCTTCATCAGTTCTTCACCAAAAAGCCAGAGGCCGCTAATTTGAGCGTAAAAAATATTTGTTATTATTATTATTATTATTATTATTATTATTCAAAAGAGTGTCTGATGATAACAATAGCTTATTACTATTAGAATAATTAGATATTTAATAGATATTGTAATATTAATATAACAAAATATAGTATAATTATAAAGTTTTAAACTTTCTTCTTATTCTGTTTCTTCTCAGAAGTTTACATATTTTTCTGATTATTACATAGGATATTAATGAAAAAAAGTCAATTAAAACGAATGATAAGAAGAGGTGTCTTATTCAAAATGTACGACATTTATTAGGGTAGCAATTATTACATTATTAACATTAAATTATTATTATTACTATTAATTATTATTATTATTATTATTATTATTATTATTATTATTCGTGTTAATTAACATATATTTGCATGTTGGTTAACTTGAAAACGAAAAAGCGAGTGGGAAATGTAAAGTAAATCACCAGCAGGTGGCGCCGATGTTCGTTTCCATTTGCCTATTCATTCTGACACTTAAAGCGCCTTCCATGCCGAAAACAATCACAAACTGTCACTTTGCTGTTGATTTGTTACATTTTAATTTTGTCAGATATGCATCTGCTATGAAAAAGAAATAAGAACGTGAACACTGCATTTTGATTTTAGTTTTGACACTGTTACGCATTTAATGAAGAAAAGGCAAAGGCAAAGTGAGACTTGAATTTTCTTTTCTCTATTAGCTTTTTCTTTTTAGATATGGCCATGAAATACCAGAATAATGACTAAAATGAAAATAACAAACAACAAATTTAAACTGTTTTAATTATTTTTTATTTTTGTCACAAATGACGTGCTTATGTGAAAAAATAAATTGCAAATGTAGGTATTTCATTTCATTTTTCACTTTGTCAGGATATTTGCGCAGGTGTTTGGAAAAAGAAATAGCAAAAAGAGGTTTGCGTTTGCGCATTTTATTGTTTTAATTTTAATTTCTTTTTTGGCTGGATTTGCCTCTCATATGACCTGCGCTCCATTCAACAATATTATTGTATCTTGGATTTTGTCAAAAGTGTAATACTCTGCCAAATAATCTTGCAAGGCCTGGAAGATTTTTGTGACGATGCTTTGGCCAGGTCATCTGACGCAGCACTCCATCACTCTCCTTCAAATAGCCCTTACATGGCCTGGAAGTGTGTTTGGGGTCATTAGCCTGTTGAAAAACAAATGATGGTCCCACTAAGCACAAACCAGATGTGATGGCCAAAAAATGCCGCTGCTCCCCTCAGCTGTTGCCAAAGCATCACCATAAAAAAATTCCAGACGGGGCTGGAGGTTAGGGTACTAGCCTTGTGACAGGAAGGTTGCTGGTTCAATCCCCTCAGCTGACAGTATGTGACTGAAGTGCCCTTGAGCAAGGCACCTAACCCCCAATTGCTCCCTGGGCACCATGGATAGGGCTGTCCACCGCTCCAGGCAAGTGTGCTCACTACTCCCTAGTGTGTGTGTGTGTTCACTGGCGTGTATGTATGTGGGTGTTTCACTGTGGATAGGTTAAATGCGGAGGTCTAACTCCTCTTTGTGCAAACACAGCAGGCTAATGGTTCTGAATTCTGGCATGTCTCTGCAGAATGCTATGGTAGTGTGCCTTGAATTTTTACAAAATCACCAGCAAAGCACCCCCACACTGTCACACCTCCTCCTATGCTTCACAATTGGAAACACACATGTAGATACCCTCCGCTCACCTTTTCTGCAGCTCACAAAGACATCTCACAAAAATCTCAAATTTCGACTCATCAGACCAAAGTACAGATTTTCACTGGTCTAATGTCCATTCTTTGTGTTTCCTGGCCCAAGCAAGTCTCTTCTTGCTCTTCAGTAGAGGCTTCTTTGCAGCAATTCGACCATACAGGCCTTATTAATGCAGTCTCCTCTGAACAGTTGATGTTGAGATGTGTCTGCTACTTAAACTCTGTGAAGCATTTATGTGCGCTCTAATCTGAGGTGTTGTTAATTTGTGATTTCCGAGGCTGGTAACGCTAATGAACTTATCCTCTACAGCAGAAGTAACTCTTGGTCTTCCTTTTCTGGGGTGGTCCTTGTGAGAGCCAGTTTCATCATAGCGTTTGATGGTTTTCATGACTGCACTTGAGGATACAAGTTCTTGCAATTTTCCAGACTGACTGACCTTCATGTCCTAAAGTAATGATGGACTGTTTCTCTTTACTTAGTTGAGTGGCTCCTGCCCATAATACAGATTAGAAAAGTAGCTGTATAGGGCTATTCACTGTATAAAACTGTGTACCAACCCTACCTAAGCACAACTGGTGGTCTCAAACACATTAAGAAGGCAAGCAGTTTGACAAATTAACTCTTGACAAGGCACACCTGTTAATTAAAACCATTCCAGGTGACTACCTCACGAAGTTGACTGAGAGAATGCCAAGAGTGTGCAAAGCTGTCAGCAAAGCAAAAGGAGGCTACTTTGAAGAACTGAAACATATTCTGATTTGTTTAACACTTTTTTGTTTACTACATAATTCTGTATGTGTTCCCTCATAGTTTTGATGTCTTCAATATTAATCAACAATGTAGAAAATAATAAAATAAATAAAAACCATTGAATGAGAAGGTCAAAACATTTGACTGGAACTATAGCTTGT